GTTACAAGAGATTGGAAGGCAAAGCAGAGGTTTACTGAAAGTAAAAGTATATACCCTGGAAGAGCAGAGTGGGCTGAGCTACAAAATATCTCAAGGCCCCACCGACAGACATATAAAGTGGAGTTTGCTTTTATTGTGTGGCACTAGTACTCCCCATTCTTACCTGGGTGTACCTGACATTTCTTGGCACTTGTATCCACAGCTAAATTTGACATCATTTCTTCTCTAGTGCCCATGAGTAAATTTTTCCTCAAAGCCCAGATAAAGCATTTAGGTGGGGGGGGAATCCACAGTGTTCATGATATGTTAAGTAGCAACAAGTTAACTTGAGGTTCATCCCTTGGACTATTGACCTGTCCAATATAGAAAACCTTTCCTTCATGCTCTTGATTTCCCCTTGTGGTCATCCATCTTCTTCTCTTTAGCCCTTAAATGGCTTAGTTTCCCCTCAAAGAAAGAATGTAGGTGGGGCTGAGGTGCCCTAGTCATTCCCCATGCTTAGCTCCCACCTACCTCTGTGACAGTATAGATTCATTAATCAAGTTTGATTAACACATCCCTCGTGTTTTTTAGGTGCATATCCCTGAGTATTTGCTGATACAGGGCATCAACATTGCTTTTTTGCTTTCTTTACATCTTCCCTGTGGAAGTAATCTCTTCAGATCATAAATAACTCGGTTATTTATGCATTTCTGTAGAATTCTAAGAGTACTTTCTTTTGGATATTAACCATTGTGTTATATGTAGTTTGTAAATATCTCCCACACATTTTAGAGATTGTCTTTTTGCCTGTTTCATGTTTACTTTGCTACATGAAACCTTTTGATTTGAATAACATACTGTTTATCTATGTCTGCATACATTTCTTGTCTTTTTTTATTAGTATCTCTCTTTCCTGTTTCATAACTTGGGGGTTAGAAACTAGATTGCCTTTTCAGACAGCTTAGATAACACACCCACCAGAGGAACCAAGTAATTCAAACTTCAAAGATGGCACCAGAAGATCTAAGGAATAGCTTTCTTCCAAATTAACAAGTGAATCACAATTTTGTTACAGGGAGTACCTGGCAGGTAGTCTTTGAATCCCTTATTTTGAAAAAAAAAAAAATCCTTTTTTTCTGTCAGGAATAGGGGCTCATGCTTATAATTCCAGTAGCTTAAAAGATGAGGCAGGAGGATTGTGAGTTCAAAGCCAGCCTCAGCAAAAACAAGTTGCTAGGAAATTAAATGAGACTCTATCTCTTAATAAAATTTCAAAATACAACTGGGAATGTGGTTCAGTGATTGAGTGCCTCTGAGTTCAATCCCCACTACACACACACACACACACACACACACACACACTCCTATTCCCAGTGATGAGCAGCATCACAGCCTCTGGAACAGGAGTCCCCTGTGCTCCTCCTTTACTAGCAAAGCAATAATATACCTGCTTTGCCTTTTTCTCAAAGCCATGTCCTCCATATTAAATTGGCATCAGGGAGAAGGATCAATATTTGGTAGCATATACACCATTTCTGTAGGTATCAGTTTACAAATAATGTGTGTAAAATGTGGAAGTATGATCACTGGATCATATGGTAACTTTATTAAGGATAAAAAATACAATGCTTCTTTCCCAGAAGACTATATTGGCATCCAAGAAACAATCAAAGAGAATTTCTGGGCTCCACAACAAATCAGTATTTGTTACTATTGTGTTTTGTGTGAGCATGTGCCATTTATTATTGGCTACAGAAATCTACTATAAATTATAATTTCATTTCTCATTTGACAGGTGCTGTTTGGAATATTTTCAGATGTTTTCACGCTCTTTCTAGAGCTTATTTTGTGATGTTTTCATGCTCTTTCAAGAGCTTATTTTGTGAATGGTATTTTCATGTCTTCTTATATACTTGTCATCCACTGGAACTGCTGTGGCAAAGCATCCATTTCAACTAATTGGATGTGATCATTAATTGATGAATTATTATTGTGTATTTTGATTATTTCATCATTTAGAAGGTATACATCTACAACCTTTCTATAAGTTACCTGAACTGGTTCTTAATTTTCAGTTGTACATTAGGTCATAATTTTAAATTCAAAATTACCACACAAAAGAAATAATATTACGAGGCAGTAGAATCTAAGGTATATATGATATTTCAACATTTCCCACAGTACATAGTTTGATATATTCAGTGACGTAAAATACTGACAATTATCTAGAAATGCAACTTTAATATTTTTCCTTTTCCTTATTAAAATAATACTACAAATCCATATTTTTATGGCATGAATTATTAAGACCAGATATTTTTCATATTTCTCTATTATTTAGATTATACATTTTGATCTCTTGTGAAGTGTATCACCCAGAGAATGACGAAACTGTTGATACATAAGGCAACATATTCTTGAAAGAGTGGGCAGCATAGACTGAATCTTAATTGAATCCATAGCAAGAACTTCTCCTCCTTCTTTAGATAAATTGCAGTGTGGCACAAACCTGTAATCTCAGCTACTTGGAAGATTGAGTCAGGGGAATCAAAATTTTGAGCCCATTCTCTAACAACTTAGCAAGAGCCTAAGCAACTGAGACGCTGTTTCAATAAATAAATAAATAAATAAATGATTGGGGGTGTGGCTCGATGGTTAATCACCACTGGGTATGATTCATGGGCCAAAAAAAAAAAGAAAAAAAAAGTAAAAAGATTGAACCAAATACACTAAAATGCTTTAAAATTTCTAGAAAGTATACAAATTATATGTTGACAACTTTAGAATCATGACACATAAAATTCTATTTATTTTAGAGAACTTTTTCACATCTGTGTATGAAGTTACTGGTAACTTTTAATATATATTTTATATATGCATTTTATGGGTTACATTATGATAATTCAGTACACATAAGTAGTAGTATTCAAATTATATTAAAAGTATGTTCATCTCTTTAAATGTTAATTATCTTAATATATTGTAAATTTATTTATATATTAATTTATTAGTGCTGTGGTTAGAACTCAGTGGTACTTAGCCACTGAGCCACACCTCCAGCCTTCTTTTGTTATTTTAATTAGAGACAGGATTGCTGAGACTGATTTTGAACTCATGATCTTCCTGCCTCAATCTTTGAAGTCAGTGGGATTACAGGCATGTGCCTTCTGCCAGGTGTAAATTTTATTTTGAAACACATTTTAGGTTATTTTCAATAATAGTTACCTAACTGTGCCATAGAAGTACGAGGAGTGATTCCTCCATTCTAGTCTTTGTGCTCCTCAATGAACTCTTTCAATCTGTCCATTTCTACTCTTCCCATTTTCTTGTTATCACTATTCCATTCTGTTCTACTATATTTACTTATTGCTTTCTAAATGAATGAGAACCTGTGGTGTTTGTCCTTCTGCACTGGACATATTACACTTAACATAAAAAAAAGGTCATGGTGTACTTCTTGCTATAGTAAGGTGCACAAAACAGGAAATATACCATTTTGATACTTTCTTTTTTTTCTTTTAATGCCAACCCAACTGAGCCAGTCAACTTGTGTCAAGAAGCATTTTTTTTAGAATCTGCACCCTGCATTCATATTTATTGTTTCTCCAGTTGTGATTGTGCATAGTAGAATGTGAACCTCACTACTTTAACATTATTTTTCTATCTAATTAAATGTTTGATAATAATTATCACATGATATGTGAGAGCACAAGGAGATCTAAAACTACTCTCAACAAAATAGATATCATAGCACATGCTGTATTTTTGTCTATACAAAGTAAACACATAAAACTACTGTCAGATCAGGGGAGGCGCAGCGACCAAAGGAGGCTGCTGAATGAGGCCAGCAGCTTCTCTATTTGCTGATTTATGATTGTCAGACGGTTACCATGCCATAGGGGAAAAAATAAAAGTTTCTTGGTGAAAAAATACTGTAGTAGTAATAGCATTTTCATGAGCTGAGTGGTCTCCCAATAAACTATTTGTTTTAGCTAAAAACAAAAAACAAAACCAACTGGGTCCAGGTTCATTGCGGATTTCCTCCTCTTATTTCTTGTCTGGTACAGCTTTCAGTGAACCAGTTACATGAATGCAGGACTACTGTATTGTTGTCCCTTTACATATTGTTATGCTTCCAAGAAATACCCATAATATTGGCTAAGTACATAGGTTATAACTGCAAACATTTACTGTGCTTCTTGCATAACAGTAAATACATCCAGTGCTGTACACAGACGATCACATTTACTCCTCAGTGTGGTTTTATACGGTGGATTTTAAGGTTTCCCCTTAAAGAGGAGAAAGCCAAGGCCCAGAAGGTTTTGCGTCCTCCAAAGTCCAATAAGCAGAGCCGGGAAGCTAGAATTCCAGCCCTGTGAGCGTGGAAGGAAAGCCCTTGTGTCTGAAGAAACACTGGTAAGCTGCATGTATTTTCCAGTTCTGCTTTTGGCCTAAGGTTCATGGACAGTGTTTATTCAACCCCAGGTTTGCTTTTTTTTTTTTTTTTTTTTTTTCTTTTTTCATCATAATAAAGCATCAACAGCTCCTGTCTTTGGTTTCACATGCACCTTCTGCCAGCTGAACCATGATGGGGAGAAGCAGAGTGGGAGGGGGACACTGTGCTCAAGCCCAACCTCTCTCTAGGATCTCCTTTACAGCCAACAGCAGCCGCGCTGCCCTGGCTTTTTGCCTCTGCCAGGTGGGCACCACTCCTTCCCCGTGTCCGCGACCAGGTGTTCAACTACATTTCCCAGCAGACCCTGCGGCAAGAGCAGGGCTCCACCAGCCTTCCTTCCTCCCGGCCTCCCCCCCCACCCCGTGGCATCGTGATGATGCACACAAGTCAGGCACTGAGGACTGCTGGTTCTCTCTGGCTCGCGATGGCCGAGGCGACCTAAATAGTGGCAATAGGCGCAACAGCGGTGACTTCAGGGAGGATGAAGATGGCTGGGCGGGCCCTGTGCACAGAGGGGAGGGGTGTGTGGGCGGAGCCCGGGCTTCAACTTCGGCAGCGACAGTCAGGGCGATGGAAGAGGCTTCTCAGCCAGCGGGTGGTTAGGCCTCAGCAGCTCGGGAGCAGCTCAAGCTGTTCTGAGAAATCTCCATGGAGACTGTGACAAAAAGAGCGGGGTCGGTGGAGCTGCTGTTCTGGAGCCGGATGCTAGGCCGAACCCTCCCCCCCTGCTTCCCCCGCCGCCAGCACGTGCGCATCCTCAGTTTCTGCTCGCGACCTCGCCGTTCTCTGTGAGTCTGTGCCTTACTGTCTGGGCAGCTGTGCGACTTTTGGGCCAGGCGGGCGGGGGAGGCCCTAAGGCCACTGCCTCTGCCTCTCCCACCTGGAGCAGAAGCCACCGAGGCTCCACCGTGGCCTCGGGAGCCAAAGGAGTAGGAGGGAGGGGTGGCGGCAAGATCGGGATGCAGGCGCTGCCACCAGGGGCTCGTCAAGTCTTACTAGCCCCGACGACTGCAGCACCAGGTACCTCAAGAAGCATTTACTTAAGGAAGAAGGCACTGACTGCAGCTAGGAGCTGAGCATATGATTCCCTAACCCTAACCCCAACCCCAACCCCTAATCCTAAACCTTTATAAAAATTTATAACTTTATAAAAGTGTTTTCTGTATAAAGGGCACTTTGTTTGTTTGGGCTTTGCTCTATTTTAATTAGGGCAAGCCTGGGCCTCTATCACCTGCAGAGCCCTATGTGTTGCCTCTGTGTTGCAGCTCCCTAGGGACATCCTGAGAGCTAAACCTTCAATATAGGGATCCTGGGGGACAGGCAACAACCAAGCTCCTGCCTGTGACAGGATCAGGACCATTTCAGCTCTGGTGTCAGCTTCATTGACTGAATGAATCTGGCTTTAGGACCATAGGAAATGTATATGAGGTAGGGGTCAGCTTAAACTGAGTTGGATGTTTATCAGAGGGAACAGGCTTGTCTCCTGGGCTGAAGGAGTGAGCTGTACCGAGTGTGAGAAGCCAGGCTCTCCACAGATGCAGGGCTAGAAGCATCTTTCTCTGTGCCTCTCATCCCTACCTCCAGTGCTCATGGCCAGACCACTGTGGGGCCACCTCTGTATGGCAGATGGATGGAGATTTCCTGGAACATCCACCTTAGCACATGATTACCTTGCCTGGAGCAGGCCACATGCTGGAAAGCCATGCCATGTTGGTGTTTTTCTGTTTTCATGAAGATGACACCATGCATGAAATGTTGCTTCTAGTCTTGAAGTAAAAACTGTCATTAGTGTGGGGACAGGAGCTGTCCAAAATTCAGATGCACGGACTATTGCCCAGAGCCTCCCAAGATCACAGGCCCTATTTCAAAGCCCAGCAAAATCAGAGTCAAATGACACCTTTTAGTCACTACCCCTGCACCTGCATATTAGTCATGTGATGCTCTTTTCTTTTCTGCCACTCCCATATCATCCTCCACAATGGCATGCCATTTCTTGTGCGGTCACACTGTCCCCACCTGTGAAAGGGTGTGGGGGACAGAAGACTGTCCTGTGTCTCTGCCATGACATCAGGTTCTTCTCCAATGGGGGACCCCTTATAGGCTCCAATTTGCTAGGGAATTTGTCCCTGGCTTTGCTGGTTGTGTGCACTCCAGATGCAGTGGGTGGCTCCTGGGGTGGGGAGCAGAACATGCTGATGGTCCTAGGCCTGGTCACACAATTGCACCATCTGTAAGGGACACTTTCAATAGACTTATGATTCAGAGTTGGATACCTATCAGTGAGAAAGAATGGGAACATGATGTTGAGCAGAGGAGAGAGGGACAAACCCAGGCTGGGGAGGCTGAGAAGGGACTGTGGGAGGAAGGCGAGTGCAGCTGGAGGTACACTGTGTCCATGGTGAGGGGTCCATTGGCAGAGAGGGCTGGGCTATTTCTTGCAAGTTCCCAGCACAGGTTGAGATCTTGGGAGAGCACACAGCAGTACCTACTTTGAGCATTTAGGTCCGGGAAAGAGGCAACATGGACAGGTGGCCATGAGGAAGGCACCTTCTTTCTCCACTAGGGTCCCCATGCTCTGAGGAGTCCCCAGGGCAAGCAGCACTGTGTGTGCCTTGGGGTTTTTAGTTCCCAATTACATGGAGGCATGACACCTCTGCTTTCCACTGGAATCAGGGAAACCCTCTCACCTCCTTCACCCTGGCAGCCCTTGGCTGTTTTTCTTTGAGACATTGCTGAGTGTCACAAAGGAAAACCTATCTCTGCATGAGCTGGCAGGCAGCAGTATGTGTCTGAGCGTCCTGGCACCTAGGTGGACATGGCGAATTCTGCTGGTCACTGAACAACACTGTATTGTTGACTGGGGCATGATCTATCACTTTCTTCCAACTATAGAAAGCCAAGCTCATTATCTTTCTGTAGTAGCCTTTGGATAGTGGCTGTACAATGATTTTTATACCTGAATTGCTCTGGGAAAGAAAAACATCTCAGCAGACATTATTAGAAGTTTTTTAATCCATGAAAGCTTAACCAGCCAAACTGGTTAAGAGCACAGGGTCACTGCTCGGCTGCTGTGCCTGGCATCTTTATCTAATAGCCACCATCTGCTGCATTGAAGATAACACATCAAAGCTGATGATCAATTTTTTTTTTCAAATCTGTTTCTGCCAATAGCTCTGGACATTCATAACCTCTGTATTGCCTTCTCCTCCTTTGAGAGCTAAAGGAGGGGATGGATGTTCTTTTCCCTCCAGAGTCCCTGAGGCCTCAGAGTCAAATGCTTTGATTTTCTCCATTCTTACAGAGGGGTGCTTTCAGCCTGACACCACAGGGATGGTCAGGAGCTGTGGGAAACAGAAAGCTCCTTTTTGTGTTCAGAGCTTTTTGCATAATAGGGTTTCTTATCAGTGTGTCTCCAAAAATAATACTGAGCAGTTTTGTACCTGGTTTCCTATCAGGAAAAGGAATTTCACCCCACTTTTGGTTCTGAATTAGAGACAGTGGCTCACACACAGGTTCCCAAGATAATGACAGAATGAAAATAATGGTAGGCTCCTTAGAGTATCTTCCAATCCAATTCACACACCCCATCACACCACAAGCCAGATGCAGAGCCAAGTGCTATTCTTTTTTTTTTTTTTCATACCACATTTTATATCATGGATAGTTACTTTTTAAGAGTTTTATGGTTACAATTAATATACAATGAAACAAATTTCTGATTGTTACAGGTATGACAAAGAACCTAGCACCCCCTCCTAGGCAGGGAACAGATAAAGAGCTTATAGACTGGCTACAACTGCAAGGAACAGATGCAAATACAATTGAAAAGGTAAATTTATAACCAAAAACTATTCCTATGATATTGTTAAAAGCTGCTTATTTCTTATGTATTTGATCTTTGTTTCAGATTGTTGAAGAAAATTATACACTTTCTGATATTCTTAACGATATCACTAAGGAAGACTTACGATGCCTTAGACTACGGTAAGAGCTTCAAAACGGCTTATTAGAACCTTTTCTGGGTAAATACATTAAAGTAGGCAATAGTGCTGGTAACTTCCCCTCTTTGAAATTCATTCCCTTTCCAGTGTCTTTGAAAACATACTACCTCTTCTCCCTCCAAAATCTTGGCAGGTTTGGGCTGGGCATGAGGTACCAGTGCACTAGACCCAACCCCTCCCGTGGTCTTGTTCCCATGTCATTTAAAATAGCCACCTCTACACCAATTCATCAGCGCTGCTGTGCACACTTCTAATACCATGTCCTAGCACTGCTGGCACTCAAGGATTATATTCACACAGGAAGAGAACATATTTTTGGTTTTGTTCATTATCTAAATTAAAATGGGACTGCATTTGTAAGAGTAGATGGCCAATCTTAGATTAGTTTTGGGGTTGTCAGTTGGAACTTTGCCTTTCTTATGGTAACTCCTTTGTTCCACAGTGGTGGTGTCTTCTGTCGTCTGTGGCACGCAGTCTCCCAGCACGCAGTCTCCCAGTACAGAAGGCAGGCTCAGGAGTCCTCAGCGACAGAGGACTAGGCTTAATCACACTCAGCTAAGCCGGGAGGACACAGTGAGCACATATCTTCCTGCTTGTGGTTAAAGCTTCTTCTGTACATGTATACACAAATTCTGCTCAGTTTACATAAGAAAAAGATGTGTTCAATTAATTCAAGGATCTGGTGAAGTTTGTCATTTTTTTGTGTCATTTTTTAAAACCTATTATTTATGAATGTTTTAAAGATTATATAGAACTGTATGTAATGTGAATAGTGAGCTTTAGTTTTGATATCCTAGAGTATTAGGAGAATCTCAGAAAAAGAGACTCAGCATTCTGTTATTTTAAATACAATGGTAGTTTAAAATGAGACAGGTGTTGTAGGGTAAGCATTATTAACTAGTATAGAACCTAAATGTGATAGGACTGTAACCACTGATGTGTAAATGGAGAAAACTAGTTGTTTGGCCTTTCACCTGTTGCCTGGTTATAATAATAAAAAAAATATGAAGAAATGATGGCTTTAGCTGTGCAATGCCAGAATTGTGTCTTCTCAGGGCATAGCCAAAACAGGTGGCAGGGTTGGAACAGATACACAAGGAAGTGTTCTTCCTTCTAGTGACCAGACAAACAACTATTTGGGAGATGGTTAAACTCTATTAGACTTGTAGATCTGAAATAGGTAATACAATAATCACAAAACACTCAAGCGTTCAACATCTTCTAACACAACAATATACAAAACTGCATGCACTTACTCTCCCTTCAATTTAATTTACATGCTATTTATTAAAGTTGACAACGCTGTTCCTTATAGTTGCTGACAAATAGCCCATCATTACACACGTCTCCCATTAACTGACTGACTTAAACTTGATCCACTGGTTGGCACCACGTACTTCAAAGGGTGGATCGCTGCTGTAGATGTGGTAGCCTAGTTCCTCCAAAGGTGGCTCAGGATCAGCTGTGGCAAACTGGGCAGCGTCCTCAATTTCTTTCCTTACTTCAACATCAATTTCCTTTAATTCTTCAACACTGGCAAGATTGCTGTTCACCATTCTATCCTTAAGAAGCATTATAGGGTCACTCTTACTTCTTACTTCCTGAATTTCTTCTCGTGTGCGGTAACTGACTCCAGGGTCACTCATACTGTGTCCATGATAACAGTAAGTCTGCAGCTCCATCAGGATGGGACCCTTCCCAGATCTACAATAGGCAGCCGCAAACCTTGTTGCCTCTCGGACACACAGGATATCCATTCCATCCACCCTAAGCCCAGGAATAAAATCGCCTCTTTTGTAGTAATCAGTGCTGGCTGCTGCTCTCTCAACAGATGTTCCCATTCCATAGCGGTTATTCTCACAGATGAAAATACAAGGTAATTTCCACAATGCTGCCATATTGTAAGCTTCAAATATCTGACCCTGGTTAGCAGCACCATCGCCATATAAAGTCAAACAGACCTCATCTTTTCCATTGTACTTGCAGGCCAGAGCAATCCCAGCTCCCAGGGGCACCTGAGCTCCCACAATGGCATTGCCCCCATAGAAGTTCTTGGCATACATGTGCATCGATCCTCCTTTCCCTTTAGCACAGCCTCCTCTTCGTCCTGTTAGCTCTGCAAGAATTTCTCCGACAGAAAGGCCTCGAGTAAAGGTGAAACCATGAGCCCGGTAGGCTGTGATGAGGTGGTCCGTGGGATTTATGCCAGCCTCCAGGCCCACACAGCAGGCTTCCTGACCATCACACAAGTGACAAAAACCACGAATGATTTTCTGTTTATAAAGCTGATCAGCCTTTAACTCCATTCGGCGCACAGTCTTCATCATCCTATAGTATTTGAGCCCATCCTCCCTGGTGAGCACTGTCGTGACAGGAGGGCCCTCTTCCAGCCGGTGAAGGTCACATTTCTTAATTTCAAATGTAGCATCATTTGCAAAATTACGGGATGCCACTAGCACTCTGCTTGCCGGCTTCTGGGCAGCACCAGCCAACACGCGGGAGACTGTCGCGAGCATCTTCCTCATGGAGCAGGAGCAGCGACAGCGCCAGCGGCGACTCCAACGACTTACGATGAGCCGGCCATCTCCAAGTCTCCTTCCCAAGTGCTATTCTTGCACTGTCTTCTCCAGGCTCAAGGGTGCTCAAGGAGAGTTCATGTCACTGTGGTGAGGACTGGCCTTTTGGCTACCACACCTCAGCTTTGGATGGGTGATGCTAGTCACCATCCACAGACTGAGGTCTGGGTGACATCTGGGATGTGTCCACTGCTAGCCCATCCCTCAGCCTGTTCCTTAGGCCTGCCTGTCTTCCTCAGCCAGATGAAGAGGATTCAGGTCTTGGCTTGGAGCCCAGGGGATGGCAGGGTTACACGGTGGAGGAGCCTGAGTCCTGGGACTGCATGGGACCACTGTCAGGTGGCCAGAGGGAGCAGGCCCAGCTCTGGGGGTTAGTCTGCATTTCCCAACCTGAGGCACTTCCTCTGAGAACTGGTTAGTCCTAGAGAGGCTGCATCTCTTCAGTTGGAAGGTGGGATTTCAGGATGGCAGGACACCACAGTCCACTTATGCAGTACCTCAACAGCTGTGCACAGAAACCCAAACTACCGCCTCCCTCGATAGAATGGGTCAGTTAGCAGAGAGTTTAAGAAAATCAGATGTAGTGGCTTTCTGGGTTAGCTGGGACCCATTCTTATAAATGACAATATTAACTCCATTAGCAGTGTTGTCAATTTTTCTTTAAAAACTTTTTTTTTGTGGCCAATATTTCTATCTTTCAATATATTTATTTTAGTTACTGCCATTGGAGGAAGTGGTAGGGGAAACTCTGGATTAAAATGAGAATTAAATTAGGAATTTTTTCCACAGGAAGGATCTGTTTTAAACTTGTTTTGACAACCTTTCCTACAGCTGGTGGGTGGGAAGCACTCTGGCTGCAGGGATAGAGAAACTCTCTCTAAACTCACAGATATGCACATTCAATCACATATTAGAATCAATGTCAGATCAATTTTTATCTTGTTGGCTTAATACACAATAAAGCAAATGGCCCATAAAGAAGAAAGAAAAGGGTTTATTCAATAAGAAAGTGTTTAAATATGAAAACGTTTTGATAGTTGATAAGGTAAGATGATAAAATGGATTTGCTGCATATCTTGACTGAGGGTTCACAAGATTTTGTAAGAATTTTGGTTAGTGATGGTGTTTAGTAGTTTCTTCTCTTGCCTCTGGGACCTATTTCCCTGAGAATTCTCATAAATTAGTACCAACAGTCTTACAGATATTAGAGGATGTTGTGGCTAAAATGAGATGCCCGGAACTTTAGATACCTTAATGACATGAGGTGGGGATGATGAGACGTTTTATGATTCCAGGGTTTTAATTTTTATTTTTTTCCTTTACTTTTTGCAGTCAGGAGCAGACTTTTGTAAAGAGAATGTTGCTTCTAGAGGCCAGGTGTCTGGGAGTCTCAGGTAAAACCTTCTGACTGGAACCAAGGATGATGTTCAAGTCTTGATGGCCATGGCCCATGGAAATTAATTGTAGTGCAGTTTGTCACTTCAACCAGGGGCAGCCAGCTTGCAGATAGAGGCTAGGCAGGAGGCAGCTCCTTGGGGAATGGGGCAGTCAGCCAGCTGGGAGAGGCTGGGCAGAAGGCAATTCCTTGGGGACTGGGGCAGTCAGCCTGCTGGGAGAGGCTGGACAGGAGGCAGATACTTGGAGAGCAGGGCCAGCCAGCTGGCTGGGACAGGCTGGGTAGGAGGCAGCTTTGCAGAGACCAGGTTCCTTCCCTTTTAAGGCCCTGTCCTTTCCTGGGGATCCAGAGCCCTCTGCTGGAGGTCAGGGCCAGAAGTCAATGCTGATGGGTCACATGCTAATGCTCAGCCATTAACTGTTGCCTTCTCTTTCTGGGGAATATACTTGGCTCCTTCATAGCTGCCACTGGGACCAGGACTCTTCTTGAACTGAGGTGAGGGCAGAAATGATGCATGTCCCCTTCTGATGACATGGCCCTTCCCTTGCTCCTTTAAATGGGGACTGCAGGGGAGTGTGAGGGCTGTGAGGCCTGCAGAACCAGGAGGCACCCAAAATTCAGGCTGCCATGACAGGGCCTGTAGCTCAGCAGGTGGCGTGCTGGTCAGGTCCACAGGTTACAGAAGGGAGGAGTTCAACCCATGTCCCACCCATTGCTGGCTCACATGAAGCTCCCAGAGATGGAGCGAATCAACACTCTGAGGGTGATGAGTCTGGGTGTGGACCCTGGGGGTCAGGGTAGAGCTGGTTGTATCTTTGCCTAAAGATAGGCTGACATGCTTCCCCTGAGGAAAGGATATGAGCTGATTTGGAATCAGGTTGTTGCAGTTAGTCAAGGTGATGTCACAATACAGCAGGGTGACCATGTTCTTATGAGGGACTGGCCAGGTGAAGAAGAACACACAGGGCCCTTTGAGTATAGAGGTGGAGGCTAGAGGCAGGCAGCTGGGAGGGAAAGGCTTCAAGGTCTGCAGGCACCATTGGAGCTGGGAGGGCACAGGATGGCACCTGGAAGTGTCCCAAGAGCATGGCCTAGTTACCTGTCTCAGTCTTTTGGCTTCCAGGACACAAATGATGAGTCTTTAAGTCACCCAGGGTTTCCAGCTTTTTTCCAGCAGCCACAGGGAGCAGAGGCTGCCAGTATGGCCATTTACAGGTGTCCAAGCTGGCCAAAGGTGTTGATATGGCCTCCCAGGGGCTGGAACCCAAGGATTACCTTCAAGAAAATCACATATGGGAACATAAGAGCATCTAGGATTCTGAAATGATTACCTGAGGCTTTCATAAAAACTTCCTGTATCTAGCTGCACCGAGTGGTGACCAAAGGTGACTGAGAATCTTGGGAGAGCCTGGTTACAAGGCAAAGGCAGGGAGTTGCAAGGTCATACTGAAGTCTGCAGGCGCTAAGCATTGTGGCCTTGTCCTTTGTCTTTCCTCCTGCCCTTTGGCATGCAGGACCTCTGCCTGGCCGAGTGTTTAGCTCAGCAGTTTCCAGAGCAATCCATAGCAATGTTCTCGGGGTTCCTTTTCCTGCACACCTCTGCCACATGGGTTGGCTTCTGAGGTATCCCCTAGCACCCGCCACAGTGGCTGTGGCACTTCTAGGTTTGCAGATGTGTGAGAAATGCAGGTGGAAATCAAGGAAGGCACTGCTTTCGATTTTGCTTTGAAATTTGAATTTTGCTTTTTTAATATTTAAAATTTTTTTTTGTTATGAGTATATCAGAGTTAAACACAATAGTGGGCTTCCTTTTCAATAATCCCACAAGCAAGGGTGGTAATTTGCTCCAACTTCAGGCCCTCGAGCCTCCCCTTTCCTCCCTCCTCCTGCCCCACCCCTCCCTGCTTCTCTCTGTTTATTTATAGTTTGTTTCAAACTTTAATAGGAAGTGGCATATGCTCATATTTAGGAATCACTTTGTTATTCTCCTTCCCACATTTGTATTTCTCAATATTGGCCTATTCAAAAGCAAATGATGCTC